CTGGACTGGCACTGCAGCCTGATCCTCAGTTACATCCAGATGCGATGAAGTCGCCACATTCATCTTGATATCTACATTGACGAAGATGGACGCCCAAGACTGCATTGTATGCCTTGTGTTCCTCAAGGCTCGCGTTCAAGATAGCAACAGTTACCTTATTATGATTCCATGGGTACATACACGATAATTCCACAAAGCAGGCGATCGGTGTCAATGAGTCAGATTTGAGGAGATACCTGTAACATCCAAAGATGGTAGGTCGTGGCAAAAGCCCAACAGCCACAGCCACAGCCACAAGTGCGGATATGGAGTGGGACCGAAACTCAACGTGGCGCAGCAGACCTGACCATCCAGAAATTGCATGTGTGTATGGAGCCGTTCTGAAAATATATATGACCTCATTCCTAGTCAGTGAGGCACGACAGCGCACACATACGCACATCGTACAGCGTACCTCGATATACGGAGTACCATCCACGGAGTACTCCGTACTCCCTTAGAGTGCCTCGAGAATAAGCTAAAACAAGGCCTCGTACCAATAATAATCACACCCAAACATGGCCGCTTAATGGTTGAAGATAATGGTTGACCAATGATGCCGATCGGGTAGATGATGGGCCCTGACTTCCCGCCTCTCACCCCAGCATCCTTATAGGGAGATTCGTGGAGAACGCGTCACTTATATTGAGTTTCAACACGCATATTGAGGTCCAAGATATAGCCCCTGGAATTTCAGAAATTGGCATCATGCTAGGGATATATGACGAAAGACAAGTGGTTAAGAATGTAGTGTTTAAAGTTTCCTAACTGTCAAACATTCCTTGGAAAGGTCTTCATCAAGGCTAGTGATCCACATCTCCAGGGCTGAGACAAAGAAAGGTGGAAAAAGTGTGGCGTTAAGAGAATCATCATGCCAAGCCGCTAAGATCTTAAATAAGTCTGGCCCCGTTCCAAGTTCCCCCTTAAGAGACTGCAAAACTCGCGTGTCAACTGTCCACTTTTTACTTTTTTTTTTTCTATCACCTACTGTCTTATCATCAAAGGCTTGTTGCCTTCTGTCATCAGTCTTTTTTTCCTTGAAATACATGCGTAAGTGGTGCCCAGGGAAGGGGTTCAAGCTATAGCTAAGCTATAGCTTGGCTATAGCTTAGCTACCCCCAGAATTTTTTTTACTTCCACTCTTGTGTATCTGGCTAACAATGTTCCCTTCTACAGACCGGATTCACTCGTGGGCGAAAGCTCACGCATCTTCTAGCGGTCTGCCAGATCAGACTCCCTCCCAACAGGCCGCCGACCCTGTTAATGATGAAAAACCTCTGCAACATGGAGAAGTGAATATCCCAGTGAAGGACTCTACCCCAGGGTCCGTCGCAGAACCCAACGCAAAGCCGGGTCTTGTGATCCGTATGCGAAACGGCTCCGGCCGTTTCTACCACCATACCAAGGATGCCATCTGCCACAGCTGGATTAATGTCCTGCTAATCTTTGTGCCGGTCGGTATCGCCTGTGAGGCTGCGGGTCTCAACCCAGCCATCGTCTTCGCGATGAATTCAGTGGCCATCATTCCACTGGCTGGACTGCTCAGTCATGCCACGGAGAGTGTCGCTAGTCGTCTTGGTGACACTATCGGAGCCTTGATCAACGTCACTTTCGGAAATGCCGTCGAATTGATCATCTTCATTATCGCATTGGTTAAGAACGAGATTCGCATCGTTCAGGCTTCTCTTCTCGGCTCAATTCTCGCCAATCTGTTGTTGATTATGGGCATGGCCTTCCTGTCTGGTGGCCTTCGCTTCCGAGAACAGATTTACAACAGTACCGTCACTCAGATGAGTGCTTGTCTGCTGAGTTTGAGTGTCATGAGTCTCCTCTTGCCTACTGCTTTCCATGCCTCGTGGTCGGACAGCGGCGATGCCGATCGCGAGACCCTCAAAGTCAGCCGTGGTACCAGTGTCGTTCTTCTGTTGGTGTATATTCTCTACATCATCTTCCAGCTGAGAACACACTCGTATCTCTACGCTAGTATCCCCCAGGCCATCATTGATGAGGAATCCAAACCTGGTGTCCTGGCAGACTTCATGAACAGCTCGTCCGACTCCTCATCTAGCTCCAGTGATGAGTCGGATGACACTACAACTTCCTGGACCACCGCCAAACGGATCAAGAGAGCAATGAAGTATCGCAGACACCGAAAATCAAGTACAAGCTCGAAAGGAACAGCCTCTCGTAATTCCTTCCAGAAAAAGGCTGTGGCATCGATTTCCCATGAAAACCAGGCTTCCATTGAAAGCAATGAAAACGCCATTGAGCTTAGTGACGAAATTCGTTATGATGCCGATGATGACGTTCAGTCCTCTTCCGCAGTCCATTCTCGCGACTTTGGTTTGGCTTTGAGTCGTATGGACAGCAAAGCGAGTAGGATGTCGAAGAAACGGCATCGCAAGATGCGAAAGGCCGAGAAAGCAGAGAAGAAGGCTACGATCGTGGCGCCCGAGGGACACGGTCGCTCGTCCGATCAACGACCGACGCTCAAGGGATTCCCATCCGCCCCCAACTTCGCTGGACCCGATGCCGCAGGAGATGATCCCCGGAAACGCCGTTCTCCTTTCGGACCTATTCCGTCTCTGCTCTCCAACACTGTCTTCAGCTCCCAGTCACCATCGGGTTCTCCCCACATCGGAACATATGCCTCGCGCCCAGGAATTTCTCGCAGCAACTCGCTCCCTGCACATATCAGTCGTCCTCCGCCGGCCGGAAACGCGGTGCAGTTCGCTCGTGGTGCTGCTCGTCTAACCGACCCTAACGATCCCGCAGTTCCGGAGACGGCTCCCCAAGTCCCGGAACCCCAAATGTCACGTACCGCTGCTGTCGTCATGCTCTTGCTGTCCACGGCTTTGGTGGCTGTTTGCGCTGAATTTTTGGTTGATGCTATTCCCGAAATGATTGAAAGCTCAAGCGTCAGCGAAGCTTTCATTGGTCTCATTATCCTGCCCATCGTCGGCAATGCAGCTGAGCATGTTACTGCCGTCAGTGTCGCCACTAAAAACAAGATGGACCTATCGATTGGTGTGTCTGTTGGTAGTAGTATTCAAATCGGTAAGTTTCCATCCGTTCCTCACGACGTGTCTACATGTGCACATTCTGACCATTCCAACAGCTATTTTCGTCACACCACTGGTCGTCATCCTGGGCTGGTGTATGGACAAAGACATGTCCCTGTACTTTACGCTCTTCGAGACTGTTTGTCTCTTCGTGACCACCTTTGTTGTCAACTTCCTCGTCTTGGATGGACGAAGCAACTATCTAGAGGGTGTCCTCTTAATTGCCGCCTATATCATCATTGCGTGAGTTTATCCCTATCCTTTATGTCCCTTCCAATATGCTAATCACTCCCTCAGCCTATCTGCATACTTCTACCCGCCCAATGGGCAATCGAGCGTTATCGCTGGCTCGGGATAGTCATCAACCTGTGGTGATGGGATGTTTAGCCTAGGTTGTTTCCACGGTCAAACGGTCGATGCGCCGGTTGGTCTAGTTTGATTGCTAGCTAGAGCGCCATTCATAGTCACTCTATAATACCACGGATCTTTACGTCGAATGGCCTGTTCTTGCTACTCAGTAAGCAATTTTGTAATAGTGCACGTACTACCAGAAAGGATTATACAGTCGATATCTATTTTCCAAATATCCTTCTCCCGCAGAGTATCGCTGGCTGGTATATCTGGGAATCTCTCTACCCAGTACTCCGTACACATCACAACTACTCTAGCAACGCTGATTGAACGAAACACGGGGGGATATCCCGTGTAGCCAATTGTCGTGATCCCTCCCCGGATGGCCCCGCCTGGGCTGGGTCCAGGCCACTCTTGTTCCAGAAGGATTTCAGCGAAAGTCCGAGGTCGGACGCCGGACGCATAACTCGAAAGAGACACGGAAACGGCACTAGACAAGGGGCATTAATTTTGCATTTCTGTGGATAGGGAAATTGATGAGCGAATATGGCAAGATCTATCATTCCAAATAGAACGTAGAAACCACTCAAAAATCCAAAAGAAGCCGTTGCTGTTACTACGTATGTTGTACTTGACAGATCGTTCTTCTCTGACCCAAAGTCTTGGCGTAAAGAGATCAACATTACATACTGTACTCCGTACGCAGTATAAGGTCACACGCGCTTCATACTATGTACATAACGCTCTTGATCCCAACACTACATACATTACTGATTCGACACTTCACTATCTATGAAACAAATTGCGACTTCGACGGAGCACACTCGTAAACTAAATGTGCCAAGCCCCAATCTCAATCCCCACCAGCCACGTGTGTGACAGTCAGTGGCTGTGTTTTCCATAACTCGGTTGCCTGAGCCACATGTGGCTCGCTGGCATGCTCATTATAGGTCGAATTTATCCCGCAACCCATTCATGCCCCCCTATAGAGGGGAGCCCTCTGCACGCAATAGTATGTCCCCTATTTCTTTTATTTTATACATTGTTACCAATAGAGGCCCCTTTTATACCAGTTGTTTGATCAAACCGTGGAAACAAATAGTCAAGCCTCTAGGTGGAGCAAGATGTTGCTCCTGGTCTAGCTATAATACAACCTCCACTCCGTATTCCATATGGTATATGGCTCATTGTGATACATTAACATTGAACAGGGGCAATTGGCATGTCCAAATTGAATTGGTCATCTAGCCTTGCAAGGCGTTGGCTGACCACCCTATGTACGAGTACCCCTCCAGGGGGTCGTGGAGCACTTTATATTGCATCTGCCTAATCGGAACGCAAACTTGGGCGCTAACATGTAACTCCTTAGAAGTGGGGGCATAAAGTGTTGGACAAATATTGTGTGGAGTTGTCTATTTCGGTTCTTGTCGGAAGGTCATGGTTTACAACGGTGTTCTTTACGCTTCTTTCCCATAAAAGCCCTCTTCCCCCTCCTTCTCAATCCCCATTCATTATCTCTTCCCTGCTTTACCTTCATATACACTCATCATGTCCTACGCTCCTCCTTACGGCGATCCTTACGGCCGCCCTCCTTCAGACCCCTACGGACGCCCGCCTGCTGATCCTTATGCGCATCCCCCTCCCTCGGATGGATATAACCGTCCAGCATATGACAGAGGTCCATACAGTGCACCCCCTCCTCAATCTCGCCCCCCTCCAGGCCCTCCTCCTCCTCTGCCTTACGGCTGGTCCCAGGAATGGGAGCCCAGTTCCCGTCGCGCATTCTACGTAGAACACGCCACTGGTCGATCCCAGTGGGAGGCGCCTTACCAGGACCCTGGATACAACGATGGCTCTCGCAGCCTTCCTCCTCCCGAGTCCCAGGGCTACTATGCGCCTCCCCAGGGCGGCCCACCTCAGGGTTACGATGATCGTAGCCCTAGCTACTATCAGGGCGAGGAGAAGCCTGAGAAGAAGAGCAGCAATGCTGGCGGTTACCTAGCAGCCGGTGCTGCCGGTTTGGCTGTCGGTGGTATTGCCGGTGCTTTGATTGCCAACGAGATCAGTATGTGACCACTTTTCTTCGGTTGAATTGCCTTTTTTTTTGCACATACTAATTATTTCTTTTAGACTCGGATGATGAGAAGTCAGATCTCGAAGAAGCTTACGAGCAAGGTCGTCGCGATGAAGAAGAGGCTCACGACTCAGACCACAGTGAGCACAGCGATGGTGGTTGGTAATTGTCTTCAGCCACTGTTGCTTGAATGTCCTGGTCACTCGATCATTCTTCAATATTCCCATTCTGTGTTAGGGTTGATGGTTGCGTTTTGCGAGGGTTTTACATCATGACATTTACTGTTCCTTAACATTGCATCGATATATCTCTTCACTATCATTTTCAATGCCGAACTATTAAAGGACAACACTTGTTCCATTCTACTTCCAACATAATATCTGCCCGTGCAATAAACCAAACCAGGCATCCTCGTCTTCCACAAACTGCCTCCAGCCCTTTGCAATAACTTCCAAATCCTCTGGCTCTGTAAAGCCTTCCTCAACAACACTCTTCGCAAACCCAGAAGATCTAGCCCTCTCCTCCATAGACCCACCCCAATATGCCCTCTCCTCATCACTCCCAAAGCACCAAGCCCCGGCACTCCTCTCCATACTCCGACTGTCAAACCCCGCCTCTCGCGCCCAGACATGAATCATCCTCCCAGGATGCGGATTGCCACCTTTAGCTCGTTGCATTTGCTCCGTAACCTCGCGCCACTTAGCGATACCCTCTGACTCAGGATACCAGCTCAACTCCGCCGACTCGCGGCACGCAACAATGCCGCCGTCTTTAGCGACTCGTCGCATTTCCTTTAGCGCATGAACCGGATCAGTAATATGTTGCAGAACCTGGTGTGCATGCACCATGTCGAATGTATTATCCTCGAATGGCAGCGCGTGGATGTTTCCTTCTTGAAAAGTAATGTTCGACAAGCCTTCAGCTTGCGCAAGGGCCCGCGCGCCTTCTAGTGGATCAGGCACGTATTCTACGCCGGTGACATGTCCCGATGGGATATGCTTTGCTAGGGAAACGGTGATTGAGCCGGGTCCACAGCCTACATCCAGGATTTTCATGTATGGCTTTAGATGTGGAAGGAGGTATGGCGCGGAGTTGGCGACTGTGCGCCAGCTGTGTGTGCGGAGCACTGAGGTTGAGTGGTCTGTTGTGTAGACTTGAGGCATAGTGAATGAATTGTGGTTGGAGTTGTAATTGTTTTGGTTGAATGTGTGGTTTTGAGTCCGATCAGTGGGGGATTTTATAGTTGCGGGGGATCTGGACCTGCTTCGGAATTCCGTAATGATCATCGAGGTCGGCGGTTCAGGTGGCAACTCCTTAAGGTTAATTCGACGCCGTGTATCTACGACATCCAATCGTGTTTCTTAACGAGCCACATGTGGAGTTTTATACCGTGAACTCTAAGGCTGAACGTCAAGGCAAAAAGTACTATATGTAGGTACGTGAGTGAGACTTTAAACTGGCTTTGATAGAACATAGTATTTGAGCTACACAATCAGACGAACTGAGAACAATCCGTACACATTATTGTCGTAGACAAACAACATTTCTAACTAAAAGAATGCAAACATCCATCAACTACCCATTTCAGGTGATGACTTCATGGCTTGGCATTGCGGAACTCCGAAAATCTTCACGGAATTCCGAAATATCCTCCGCATCTACATATTTCTTCAATATGGATGAACTCTCAAGTAGACCCGGGCCATCAACCCCCGCTTCATCTCGAATTCCCCGCACTTCACGAAAAAAGGCGTGCCGAAAATGTGTAGCAGCCAAAACTGCGTGTGACCTTAGAAAGCCAAGATGCAAGCGATGCAGAGATCGAGACACGAGCTGTGAATATCCAGCACTGATCGAATCAACAAGCGGGGGTAATGCAGAGAATCAATACGCCGCTGTGGATGCCAGCCCTTTCAGCACTATCTCCGATGCAACATCTCTGGATTCCACATGGCCAAGGGGTCTGGTCAAAGACACCGCAGATGTATCTGTATCTCATACCTCGAATCACTCTACCGCCGATAGTGGACCAGGTCATTCAGATGCTACTGTTGTAGTGGACTTTCAACAAATTGATCTGGCACCTATGATCGATGCAGAGGAAATTCGCGATCGCTGGCTACGCCCCTACATCTCAAGTTCGACAGGCCAAGAGCCCAAGCAGTTCAATGCTCACACCATACAGTATCTCACCTGCGTGTTGAAATCATATATTAGGAATCAACTCAACTCAATTGCACCGCCCTTTATTCATTCTATGCAACAAACGGGGACTTGCCCGCCTGTCTTGGCGTGCTGTTTCACCTTGGTTCGGACGTGGTTGACTCGGATTCCTGGATGTGAGCGCTTGGTTCTGGGGGCTATGGGAGCAGAGATGAGGAAAATTGAAAGCCAGGTACGTTGACACCTTCATACTCGTTACAGATCAGCCTAATATCACACAGGATGCTTTTCAAAGCGATTTTGATAGCTTGTGCTCATTCCAGGCGTATCTCATCTACTCCATGACGATGCATTTCTTTCCTTGTACAGACACCGTGGAAGAGTCCCACACCTTCGATCCTCAAGCGGCGATAAAAATGCAAGAAATCGCTTTCCGATCTGCCAAATCAGGTCTCATCTGCAGAGCAGAAGAAACCCAGACCCGGCCGAGCTGGGAGTCTTGGATAGTCGCATCTGCCAAACGTCGTACCATTTTCGCCATGTATCTCTTCACCAGCGTTTACAATACCCAACTCGAGCTGCCGAACTTTGTTGCTGAAGAGCTCAGGGGGACTACAGCCCCGGAAAGCAGAATACTCTGGGAAACTTCAGACCGCACCGTTTGGGAACGGGAATACAATCGGCACTTGTCTCGCTGGGAGGATGGAATGCTCGAGATATCAGAGCTGTGGAAGTCTGATGAGACTGGAACAGATTCCCGCCGGGAGAGGATTGAGCGGTGGTTGCAATTTGCTGATGGGTTTGGGATCATGCTTTTTTCAGTTTGTGCGCATATCCATGGATGCTAGACGCCTACTTCTCTACATTCAATTCAAGATGAAGCAAATACAGAACAAGAATACTAGAAACTAGGAGACAGTCATATCAACCAGGAAAGTTTGATTGTCTTGATTGCATTGCTCTGTCGTAATATATCTCATATTCAAGTCATATGTACTTAGCAATGAGAATGCATAACCTTTAATGCCCCTTGGCCATCTGCTCAGCCCACGAATCCAGAACATCCTTGATGACCTTGTTGGACGTCATGCGCTCAAGCCACTCCTTCTCATTCGGGAACTCATCCAAATCGAACCCATCTTCCACGAATGCCGTGCGTACCGTATTCTGCCAAGGAATGAACGCCACATCAGCGTACGACATTTTGTTGCCGACCAGCCAGGGACCATCCCCAACATCCTTGTTGGCCTCCTTCTGTTTGGCAAGCCACGAGTCAAGCACGCCCGTCACACGTTTGCTTTCATTGATATAGCGTTCCACTGCACTAGGGATCTTCTCTGCGTGAAATTTTTTGAACCAATAGGCTTGTCCGTAGTACGGACCCTGGCCAGAAACCTGGAGATAGAGGAACGAGCGTGCATGCTCGGCTTCTGCGCTGCCAGGTGTAAAGCTGAGCTTGCGGGGTTCATTGGTGTCGTAACGCTCTATGAGGTACTCGATAATGGCACCGCTCTCCCAAATGGTCAGGCCGGTGTTTGGGTCATGGATTGAAGGTAGGCGCCCATTTGGATTGATCGCTGTATACTCAGGCTCCTTAACTTTCGAGAAAGGGACTGGAATGGGCTCGAATGGTAGTTCAAGGAGTGCGAGGATGAGTCCGACTTTGAGGGGATTGGGGCCAAGGATGCCACCGTAGAGCTGAATAGGTTTGACTGTGGATGACATTGTTTGAATTCCACTGTGATTGAAGTTGAAATGATAATTGCTATACCATGTTTGCAGCAATGGGTATCGACTTTATATGTCCGATACCATTCCTGCAAGGGACGAACTAAAGCCATACCGCTGACTCTAAAGACATGAGCTTGCTAACCCTATCTAGTTAGTGTGAACACACATATCCCATAGATGGTTTGTGGGTTCCAAGGTTATGTCTTTGATATTCGGACTCTGCAATTCCGCTTATCAATCACATCCATAACTACCGTGAATAAGCCGGCGGATTTGTAACACTTCGTCCTTAGAGTTCGTCCGTTCTTTGTCCGAATGTCCGATCACGGTCCCACAATTACTAATCTTCAGGCTAGCGGCTAGCCATCGGGGCTAATATTATTTCACCCTGAGACTATCAGTGGACCTTTCCAACGGAAGATCCCGAGGTCCATCCATGGTTCTAATTTTTGAAGTCAAAAGTTGACCTTTCATTGTATCATCATGCTTATGAACCGTTTCACCCGAGTTGCTATACCTCTCTGACCAATAACATGGGTTTTTCCCAAGATTGTCACACCCAAATTGGGGAATCATCATGTGAATTCATTCTCGATCGAGAATACAAAGTACTATGATGAACTTGAGATTCTGCAGGCTACGACCATGTCACCATTGCTGGTAGGTTTGACTCTAGACCATTTAGGAGACGGCCCATTCTTAATCTGAAGGGTATTTAGCAGCTCACTAAGGAGGAATGTCTAGGCTATATGAGAGTGTTTGCAATCAGAATACGCGTTATGCGACCCATCAACAACACACATCATGCCAGGGGGGATATCACACTTGTAGTATTTTTGGTATCACATCTACGTCTGCTTCTGCTTAAAATGTATAGCGGTTGTGGTGACGGATGACGGCAAGGAAAGTAGAAACTACTGTTCGAACCGGTGACGGTTTCCCTATTGGTTTCCTTTGAAATGACCACCTCCATGTGACTCTTCCATTCCTTGGGTGTCGATGGAGCACTCACCGCCCAAACCATGACCCCGCACTCTACATTCAAATACCCACATAGACCTTGGATATACGAGTCAATATATAGATATATATATATGTTCTCAACTGTAAATGTCACATCCAATTCAACTTTATCGTCTAGGTACATGCCACAAAGTTGTTACCGCTGGCACCAGTGTGAGTGATAACGCCAGCTAGCTCGTTGTCACCGTTGAAAATAACACGGTCCGCACCAGGAGAGCTACCGGTATACACCTTGCCACTGCTGAGAATGGGGAATTCGTAGTATGTTCCTGAAACGGGGAAGTCGAAACCCTCGTAGTTGTGGTACTCGTGGGGGTAGTTGTTGACATCATCATTCGCGGATTCGAGCTCGTAGCCCGCGTCCTGGGCGGCGCTGATGGCACTGCTAGTGTAGCAGACTTTACCGCAAGTCGCGGCACACGCGCGAGCTTCCACTACCGGGGCGGCGAGGGCACTGGATACGAAGAGGGTGGCCAGAGCCAGGATCTAGGATTTGTGTTAATGGTTGATAATACTGATCTCTGGAGGAAAGTATTACCTTGGTGTACTGCATTGTGGCGGTATAGTAGACTAGGATATTTGAGTCTTTGGTTGGCTATGGATATTTCTTGACCGGGAGACCTCGATGTTTCTGGGAAATGTGATTGTTTAAATATGCATTACCGGAGGTCTCCGAAGAGAGACTACTCAGTATCAACGCGATGTTACATTCTGTCCAGCCGTCTTGGTCTTTCGTTGGCAACGGTATGCTGCAAGTCTGAATGATCAATTAACGACCACCGTACCCGAATGAGGGACATTCACCGAGCGGTAACCCTGAAGCATAGAAGTCAAAGCGAGGTACAAGACAGTCCCGATTGGCTGCTTAGGGACGTGAAGAATCGAGTGGTGCTACGACTCCGGATTCCTGGAGATGCGCCCTATCCGAGAAGGTGATCGACGGGGCTTTTCTGGAAGGGGCGTTTTTAGGCTGCGCCTGCGTTGGGCAAGGTCGCTCTCTATCGGGCCAATCATAACGTCAATCGTCGGGCACGATGTCGATCTGATGGCCCATTACTCAGCGACAGATGCCCACGGGTGGGGTTAGACATCTTCCTGTCGGCATTTGAAATCTGATTGAGTAAACAGTCACCCCTGAAGGTGTTGCGCTCATCTAACTGTTATTCAAACCCAACATCTTTGCTTGTCGAGATAAGACATTTTCTCAATTGTGCATCGCATATATTGTTTTCCCCTCCTGTGCCCCGCGCTCCGACGGTCTCCGTGCTGATCCCTTGAAGTATCATATCTGGCCCGCCGCCTGCTGATTAGATCGCATGGTTTGTTTCTTGGTTTTCTGTTGTCACTGGCACAAAGTCGTATTCGGAAGTTTCTCTTTAGACGGTAGATCAAGTTCAATTGTCTCACATGCTAGTTTGGGTACTTGGGACGGCTGAATTTAACCGAAAGGTATGTTCAGATTGGATATGAATGGGTATCATGTAAGACGGAGGGTGACTAGTTTACCCTATAACAACGGAATAAATGCGAGACCACCACTTGGCAGCCTTTTGGGGTGACTCGGGCTCTTCAAACTCGACATGCTCCCTTCGCCCAGTCCAGATATCCATATCCTCCAGTCGGACGACACGGGTTTTATTCCAGAACTTGTACGCAATCACAAACAACACAAACACAGGAATTAGGATATAGTTGATCACAAAGTCGGTCGAGCTAAATGGATTGAGGAAGCACGTGTATCCCTGGAAGAAAACAAGGAAGACATTTGCTGCCAGCGAGAGGTAGGTGCCATATGGGTAGAAGAGAGCTTGGAATGGGAGCTTTGATGGGTCTTCGCCTTGCGCGACAAGGGCTTGCCGGAATCGAATATGCGCAACTCCGATGACCGACCAAACAATAAAGGTGGCAACTGTTAGTTCGTTAGCATGGAACAATTGGTTTCGTAAGAGTCTAGGAAGAGAAACATACCACCTGAAAGAGTGATCAACGCGGAGTAAACTCTTCCAGCACTAGAGGACTGCTCCAGAAATACAATGCATGCGAAGACGTTGGTTAATACCAAGCCCACCCATGGGACTCCGAGTCGATTTGTTCGGCCAATGAATTTTGGGGCTTTTCCGTTGCGAGATAAGAAAAGCAGTGTTCTAGATGCCACATAAAGCGAGCTGTTTCCTGCGGAAATAACACTGATTACGATAAGGGCATTAATGAGGTGGGCAGCTGGGAGGATCCCAGCATCCTCCAACGAGATTGTCAAGGGAGAGCTGGCTGTCTTGGACGACGTGCCCAACAATCTCTTGTCATTCCATGGAATGAGCATTCCAATAAAGAAGATAGTACCTAGGTATAGTTCAGTCCTGCTTCGGTTTTATGTTTGAACGTGAACTTACCAACGTAGAAAATCAAGATGCGCCAAAAGACCTGCTTGATAGCCTTGGGTACTGCTTTTGCGGGATTTGCCGATTCTCCGGCGGTGACACCAACCCTAATTCGACCGTCAGCTTTTGCCATTTCCCGCCACTTTCTTTCAATATTGGGGAACATACATCTCAGTCCCGGCATACAATGTTCCCGCAACAACAAAGGTTTTCGCAACACCATTGATTGAATCTGCAAACGCCCCGGGGGCATGCCAATATTCAAATCCAATAGAACGCGGTCCAATGCCACCTGCGCTGATGCAAATTGCCAGAATGAAAAAGACAATCAACGCCAACACCTTGATACTGTGATCTGTTAGCCAATTTAATGTTTCAACCCCAAGCACCTAGAAACTTACAGAGATAGCCAAAACTCCATCTCGCCATAGGCCAAAATCCCCAGATTTGACAGGGTGAGGAACATCACCCAGAAGATTAAGATCCAGCCCCATTGAGGAACAACATCTGTCCAGTACCCAATGACTAGGGATATCGCATTGTATTCATTTGCGAGAACCTAAAGTGTCGGGTTAGCAAGGGACCCTTCATGATCCAGAAATATTGGATGCATGTCGTACAGTCACCCATAAGTACCAATACGCCCATCCTAGCGCAAACGCCAGAGAGTCGTCAATAAAGCGCTCAGCATACTCGGTAAATGATCCAGTCACAGGGAGTAGCGTAGCCATCTCACCCAGTGATTGCCTATAATCGTTAGCACCATTCCTGAAACTAGAGAATGCACCCCTTACATGACAAAGAAGACAATAATTCCGACCAGTGAGAAACTAATCAAAGCGCCTGCGGGCCCACCCTCATGCAGGGCTTTGCCGGAGCTCACCAGCAGACCAGGACCGATAATACCTGGAGATACGGAGTACTTTGGTTAGCATCAACTGTGTCAAAACAATGCGACCACAAACTCACCTCCAATAGCGATCATCTGTAGATGTCTAGACTTGAGCTGGCGTTTTAATGGTGCAGATAAAGGATCAGTTGCAATCTCTTCATCCGATCGATTTTCCGATCGGATGCTTTTTGTAGCGCCATCGTGAACGGGTCCTCTGTATGTCACAGTGAAATCCGTTTTGTCCGTCATATCGAGAAATACTTCAGACAAAATGTCTCAAATCAGTCAAAGAGAGGTTATTTTTTTTTTCCCACAGAAACTTGGACAATGTCGCTTGGAGCCAACGATAAGAGAATTGGGCCCTCATTTGCTCCGGATGTCGTGATAAGCCCTGGGTGAGGCGTCATGGACCCATGGATGATCTTGTGGGGTCAAGGTTAGCTAAGTCCAGTCTTTGATCATGTAATATACGCTCCGTATGTTGTACATAATATTTGTATACTATAGCATACAACCTGAATTTAGAATCGAGATGATCTCTAACAACATTTTGCTTGTACATAGTTTCGTAGGTTATTATCGTCTCGGCCCTTCTGGGAACCCGAAAAAGGGGAATTGAACAATGCTCTATATTTGAAGCAATAACAGAAAGAATTACTTGAATATTTCCTAGGACTACCCTCGAGATTGGGTCATGAGGACTCAGCATACGCGTTCATTTATCATCGGCAGCAAATCGATGAGGAATGTGGGAAGGATAGGAGATATGTCAGCCACACGAGATCGAACTTTCAAATTAACCGTTAGTATTGAGTAAGGCAATTCAAAGGAAAAAATACTATAACAATGGCAATGGCACAATGCTTCAAATGAGGGCTCAGACTAGCCATGTGTGTCGTTAACGCAGTTCCGATCTGGAACAATTTTATCATCGCTCAAAGCACATTCAATCTTTGGTAGGGGTACGTCCGAAGCTAAATATTAGCCAAGAGAGTGTGGATTAGATAGGATCCAATAGTATAGGAAGGGGGGGGGGAAGCAACGGCAAAACGCTTGAATGGGGCTCAGATCGCAACCTTTTCGTCAATAAAGTTCAGAATTGAATGATTCTCATCATCGCCACTAAGCAGATACCATTGAGGGAGGAATGTATGCGGGAAGGGGTTGACAGCATAGGAGACTCCACTGAAATACCAGCGAAGACTGGTAAGCGCAAGAGACAAAAGACAAAATGCTCAAGAGGTCTCTCAGACAAGTGTAGCTTGGTCATCAAAGATGTTCAGTAGCTCTCTTTTTTCATCATTGGTACCGCGCAGATTGCTGTCGGAGATCTCAATCACTCTGGCAAAGTTCGCAATATGGGGGAAAATTCACTATATAAGTCAGCGATGGGGCCATTGAGCAGAATAGCCAGACTGGCACGTGAAATAGAGAAATGCAAAGTGCTCAAATGGTGCCTCAGACAAGTGTAGCTTGGTCATCAAAGATGTTCAGTCAGCTCTCTTTTTCCATCATTGGCACCCGTTAAATCACCAATAGGGAACGCCCAACAGTGTGAGAAAACTAGACTCGGGAATTAGCGACAGTCATCAATATCCAGAGAAAGCCATGCGAAGGATAATCTACAAAGTCAGGATTGTTCGATGGTGTATCAAATAGGTTCGATGGTTTCCCTTGTTTCATCATTCTCATCAAGAAAACCACCGATTGACAAGATGGGAAATTATGGCAACAAGGTAACAAGGTAACGACAACTCACTTGGCCAAGATGCAAATAGAGCACCGAAGGGCCAGTGGGACTAGCAGTATTAGATCCACAGACTTGACATGGAAACCTTGCACGCGAATTGATTAAGTAGAGGCTCAGATATGCGTTGGGCTTGTTCGGAACTGTCTTTTCTCCGACCACAAGGAGCTGATACTACACGAGCTAGGGTTCAGGTATACCCGTTTGTATCATTGCCAAATCAAGCCCAGTGGAGCAACGGGACGGGAGTGTGAGGAGCTGGGTAGAAATATGCAATGATATTAGCAAAATTTAATCCAGCAATATGATATGGGGTTCAGATAGAGAAGTTTCCGTCAAATGGATGCTCAGACATAGGGTTTATTTTCTTCAGACCTCGGGCTTTTTATGGCCCACAATAACAGAAATAAGAACAGATAATACTCACTGCCGAGGTCAAGAGGTATAACCCTTTTCATCCTCGCCGAATGGAAGCAATAAATTGCGGAAGTAGACTTACAATTCTACCAGTAAGTGTCATTTTAAGGAATGAGCAG